CTAACTCAGATTGAATATTATTAATATATAAAAGTAAATAAACAATCTTGATTAATCTCTGTTATATTTCTTGAAATATATTAATATTGTGAAAGAGAGTGTTATCAAATTGCATTATCAGATAATATCATTAAAAATATATTAATATTATAAATATCAATATTGAAAAAATATTGATACTTATATATTATAGTGATTTGTGAGTCATGATTATTAAATATATATATATATATTATTTCTGACATTGATTATGACTTGTACAATAATTTTTGAAAACTCAAAATAAATTTCAATTATTAATAATTATGAACTTATAAGTAACTAATATAAAAAGAAAAAAACTTTTTCTACTCATTATCTTTCTTCTCTTTCTCATTCTTCTTATTATTCTTTACAATTCACTTTTCATTCTCATTTTTCTTCTTCTTCTTCTCATCTGAGATGATAATCATCTTAAAATCTCTTTCTACTATCTTCTCAGAGAAGAGTTTCTACTACTCTCTCTCAGCTAGGTTAATCTGTATCTTAAAATCTCATATTTTCTAGTCTGCTGTCTCAGGTTTTACTTCAGTGATAAGCAGATTAGCATGCTCAGAGAGTAGAACTGTCTTCTCACTGTTCTGAATTATAAAGCATATTTGAGATCTAAATAAGATCTCAATTCTCTTCTTCTCTGTCAGCTTCTGCTAATCAATTAGAGAATAGAAGCATTATTAAAAATTATTATCTCTTAATAAATAAAAAACTTATTAGTTTTAACTTCTTTATCTTCTGCTTTAATACTCTGTTAATCTTCTTCTATCACTGCTTATTTACAGTAATACTCTTCTTCTCTCTCTTTCTCTTTATCTTAGTCTTAAATCATTCTCAGAACTTCTTCTGATTTCACTACTACTGTATAAGACTCTTCACTATCTTCTTTTTTAATCTCTCACAGATGATGTCATTCATAGTATTTTTATACTTAGTTCAGTCTAAATCTATTAGAAGTGTTACTTAAAATTATTATCATTCTACTCTTTTACAGAGTCTTTGTAAGATATTATAATATATCTTATAATCTGTCTTCTATTACTTAAACATCTTCTTCATCTCTCTTTTCAATCTGTGATAGCACTTACATGCCTTGATGATTTACAGAACTGCAGAATATTTGAAGCGGAATAACATAATTAGTTTCAGTGAGTATTAAAGAGAGATGAAGACAGAAGAGACAGCTAGAAATAATATAATAATAATAATGATGATGATAATAATAATAATAATAATAATAGTGATAGTGATAATAGTAATAATGATAATAATAATGATGATAATAATAATGATAATGAAAGAGAGAGTGCATTGAAATATATTACTGACTTATCAAATATAGAGAGACTTAAAGAAAATATTAACAGCTTTCAAAGATGTACAGAAACAGCTACAGTGTTATATCATAATATTATCTTCATTTAATACATGCACTGTTGATATTCTTTATATACAGTTATTATATAATCTGTATCAGAGATACATGCAGAAAACAGATCTTTATTACTAGAATGAATAATTACAGTAATTCTCTGTTTTTATATTATAAGATAAGTTATTCTTATTTCTTTCTTCTCTCTTTTCTCTTCTTTAATCAATCACTAATTTCAAGCTAATATGAAAACTATTAAAACACTTTCAGAAACTCTTAAATTAAAGAGTATAGACTAATCAAATTTCAAATGCAGAAGAAACTAAATTATCTTCTATAGATTCAATTACTCACTCTGTCTCTAAATAAAACAGTAGTTATGTCTCTTCTTCTCTCCTCTCAATCAAATGAAACATGGTCTGTGAAAAGTGAGTATCATGCCAGGTTATAATAATTAACATGATTTCAGTATACAGAGCTGTATACATGCAGTATATGCTGAACTGAGAGACTGTGTGAGTTATAAACTAGCAGCAGCATCTCAGAGAGAGCTGTGCAGCATGAGAAAGCTGCAACTCTTAATTATATATGTAGAGAATGAATTACTATAGTAAGTGCATATGCATTGTATAAAAGTAATACTTTTTAATAATACTCAGTCTCTGATATTATAAAAATAGAGTCTCTCTGTGAGATCTGTTTTTATCAGAAGTCAGAGAATCTTATATTTCTCAAGATCATCTTCACATGTCTTATCTGTGAAATTAATAAGAGAAATCATTAATTTCAGTATTCTATTCTTGATATTATTTAAGTGGCAGCAGAGTTCATCCTGATCATACTTTTTAAGTGTATATTTTCTAATTATTCACATTTATACAGATATATACTGATTATTTATTAGATAATATTAAGATAATAACTTATCACAGCTGTGTTACTCTCACTGTAAGAGATACACAGTTGATAATAAATATTGCAAAGACTCTGAGAATTGAGTATTTTAGAGATACTATAGCTCTGTAATCTTGATTTTTTTTTTATTTTTATTTTTTATTTTTTTCTTTCTCTTTTATTTTTTTTTTTCATTGTAATTCTTTCTTGTTTTTATTTTATTTTTTATTTTTTTGTTTTTTGTTTTTATATTTTATATTTTTTTTATAACTAAAATTATATAAATTATAATCTGTGTTTAAAAAAGTAATGATATTTAGTAACACTCTCTGTTGAATTTTCAACAAATGAGCACTATATTATGATATTATGTAAGTGAGAAATGATTTCATAGACTTATTTAATGTTATTATCAATAATGAGATCAGAATGAAAATGTGACTAAGAATTCAAACATATTCTTTATCTGAGACTAGATTTTTATTTGAAAAGTGAATCTGAAACCTTTAATATTTGAAATAATATGATTTGAAATCAATGTAATAAATATAAACCATGATCAGAAGTAATGCTTTTAGATAGTATAGTAACTGTAAAGTTTGATCCTGATTCCAGACACGGTTATACGGTTAGTTTAATAGAAACAGACTTATATTCTCTATAATATCAAGATTCTGAAGAGGAAAAGTCTTGATAGAGAGTATATAGTAGTGTATATCTTAGCAGTTTCTATCTCATTGTTCTGTAGCAGTTAATGCAAAAAAAAAAAAAAGATTTTAGAAATAGTTTTTTACTTCTCTTGAAAAAGTAAGGTGTTTTTCTCTGAGTTTTACACAGTATTCTTACAAAGAATTAAAAACAGAGTTGTTTTTTATCATAATTTCACATTCTTTTAAATAAGAATTACTTTTTCAGTGACTGAAGAGCTTTCATTAATACTTAATTCTTTTTTACACTCTTTATTAACTGATTTGAGTTGTACACTTGTTGTGTGAGAAGAATTGAATGATTTAGAATAAAATTGAATAGTTTTAATCAATTTCTCTGCAAAAAGTTAACTTATTTTTTATAAATTTTTCTCTCAAAAACTGTCATATTATCTGATTTATTATCAATTGATATCATACTTTTCCTCACTGTATTTCAAGAAAGAGATTATAAAGATTTTATTGATTTATCTCAAAAATCAATTTTAGTTTATTAGATTCTATTCAAAAATTTAACCTAGTTACTGAACTAGTGTGAAAAAAAAATCAGGTGTTTTATACATAAAAGTCTTGTATTCTTCTTTTAAAACAGTCTGACCAACTTTTCAATTGAAAATAGACTTAGAAATCTCTTAATTGAAACAGTCTGATCAACTTTTCAATTTAAAAGAGTTTAATAAATCTCTCAATTGAAACAGTCTGATTAACTTTTCATTGAGTGAGAACAATGAGTTCAAAAATACACTCAGTTGATATAGAAAAAGATGCTTTCTCAAATACTATTTCTGAGATTGAAATTCTGAAGAGAAGAAAGAAAGAAGAAATAGAGAAATAACAAGTTCTTGAAATACAGAAGCTTGAAAAAGCAAGTAAAATTCTTGAAAAGCAGTGTCTGAGTGAGATAAATGAAGAAGTTCTGTTAATTCTTCATGCTCAGACTAGACAACTACAGAAGATGATCAAGTTCAAACTTGGGATTTTAAACACAGTTCAAAAAACATTGAAAATTCCTAGTATAATCACTGATTCTTCATTTTACTCTTCTTCTTTTTCTACTTCTTCTTCTTCTTCTTCTTTAAATCAGAAGAAAATATATGCTTAAGTAGCTGAATCTACTGTCTCTAAATCTGCTGTCTTAAAATCTGCTCAAAATTTTGAGAAAACTGAGAAGAATACTGCTCATGCTTCTATTCATAGAAAAGTAGAGAAAAAAATGTAAAAAGAGAAAAACTTTCAAATCTTCAGAAATAGAAGACTTATTATCTGTGATTCAAAGGTTGCTTAAGCCAGTGTACAATTACAGGCGTACGCCGGCTTCTTATATATCGTACGCTAATTTAATTAGCGGCCGCTATGACCTCTTTACACTTGTAAGCAAGTTCAGAAGCGGCTGTGTTATTATTCAACAGTTGTATGTTCTTCTGAACCACATTCTTCTCTATCAGATTCAGTCACGCTCATGTGACCATGTCATACACCCTAGCTTCATGCGGATTAGCTCATCACTAGTATTTCACAATTGTGTGATCTATCTCTGATTCAGCTAGCATTCTGTGTACACTCTCACAAAGAAACTTTCACTATATTACATCACTCATTCACTAACTTTTCTCATTCTCTAATCATCTTCTTCATCATCATTGAATGTCACTATTATTCAAGATTTCTACTTCTTCTTCTGTTCAACTCTTTCTATCTGTTTATCTATCACATTGTACATGTTTCTGGCAATAGCCTCTCATTTTCATAACAAGTGTCATTAGAGTGCTTATATCAGGCAGTTCATTAGCAGTAAGTGTAATGTGTTATGAAATGTATGTGATCAGAACTTGTTTATCTTCTAACAATTGTCAGAATGTACTATTATAAATGACACATCTTCTTCATCTTCTTATACATTCTCAATCTTTTTCTTCTCAGTGAATTTCTGATCATGTTTTCTGACATGATTTTGCATGAACACAGATGCTGATATGTTGTTTTTATTCATGTAGAATCTTCATGTGTTGACAGATCTACATTTATCAATAATAGTGAACTCAATATTGAATCATTGATTGAGAACTTGAAGAATGCAATAATAAAGAAATTATCTGTGTCATGTGTAACTGAGTCTTCTGCATCTCTCTCTATTCTCTCTATTTCTTTCTCTGCTGCTCTCTCTCAATCTTCTACATCTGTCTCTGTGTCTGATTCTCCTGCTTTTACTATCTCTGTTTCTGCAACTCTTACTCTCACTACTTCTGGTTTTACTGTCTCTGCTTTCATTATTAGCTCTTCTCATTTTAAGGAGATATTGTGTAGACTTAATAAATCATGTTTCTCAGTGTATACACTCTCACTCTTCTTATCAACTCTCAGAATAATTTATTGTATAAAGACTGTGTATAATATAATGATCTAGAGCTCAGTTGCAGACACTGATTATTATATTCATTTTAAATATTTATAATGAAATAATTATTCATTTATCTCAGAGAATCACTCTCTCTCTCAACAGTGTTGAGATTATAAGTCTTTTTCTTTTTCATTTTTTCTTTCTGACACTGATTTTTCTGTTCTTAGAAGAAATTATTATAGGTTTTACTGTGTATAAAGTTATGATATTTATAGATATCAAGAAGCTTTTCATAACTGTAAAGTTCAATATTATAAGAATATTCACTCTGATAAATTTCTTCAGAATGATAGATTCATATCAGTCTATTCTCTGATATCTGTTATCTGACTTTGTAATGCAGATGAAAGATATCTGTGTTTTCAAGAATAGAAATATGAATATCATACTCTTTTACACCCGCGGGTGTGAGGCTTGTACACCTTGTCTGAGATGTTATTGTAAGAATGAGCTGTTCATACACTGTGTTCTACTTTCTGTATTTCTCTGTGTCTCTCTCTCTCTTTCTAAGAAGCCTTGTGCATATTGTAATTGTGTGTACAATTCTAAAATCAGCAGGTGTTTATTTGATAATTATTATCATCTCTGATTTTATAATTTTTATACACTAATAATGATTCTTAGTTACTCTGATATCAGAGGTCATTCTGATTGAAGATGATAATGTTACTGAGACTACTCTCTTTCACTCTTAAGCTTCTCTTATTACTTTCTCTTTCTTCTCTGCAGAAAAGATTGTGTGTATATCAGATTATAAGTATTCAGCTCTGAGTGACTTCTGCTATCATTTATCTGATTCTGTGTCTTCTTCTTCTTCTATTTCTTCTGTCTCTATTCTTTCTGTTCTGACTTCTAATTCTGCAGATTCTGTGCTCTTCTTCAATTTTTCTACATGTATATATACACATTTCTATATTGACATTTCAGTCAATCTTGTGATAAATGACATTAATGTTGTATGCAGAGCAGTAGAGAAATCAGAGACATGTATAATATTATTATAAGAGCAGCTTACAGCTCTCAAATCTCTTGCAGATCTCAAGTTTTAAGATTTTCTTTATTTTTAATGTTTTTCAGATGATGTGGCATTGAAAATAGATTAAACATGTAGTGTATGAAAATGAATGAGATGTGTATAATAATATTTGTCTTTTACAGCTGATTCTTACAGTTGATGATCAATTCATTTTCCTTTTCTTATACTTTTTCTTTGTCTGCTAGTCACTACTCTTACACAATCTCTATATAATACAGTGTTCAGTGACTAGGTTCAGCAGCTTTCATCTTTTGTAATTCTGTCTCATGCATTATACTGTCTCTCTTCATCTGCTCAGATCACTACAGTGAACAGCTCATTGAAACTAACCTCATCTGATCTCTGAGTATTCTCAGAGATTGAGATGACTTGATCTCATATGTCTGTAAATGTTTCAGATAGTTTATCCTCTATAGTCTCTGTAATTGAACTGATATAAACAGTTGAATTTAACTCTGAATTCCTTTTTCTTCTGTAATCTGATTCATGTGCAAGTCTGTTACTTTGAGATCATTCTTTACTGTGTTGCATTCACTGTCTGCAGCATGTTATTATACAACTGACTACAGTCTTATCACTTATTAAAGTGTGATATTCATCTGATTTCTTCATTACTTCTCATTCTTTTCTTATAATTATGAAAAGATTGAAATAAGTGAGATTATCTGATTTGTAAGTATCTATGATTTCTCTTACTTTACAAGACTTTTCAATTATAAGCTTCTTCTTTTTCAATACTGATAATAGTACTGTGAATAATTATAATCTACTCAGATCTTATATCTTTGCTTTTATAAGTTATGAATCATTGATTAAGTTGTATAAGATTCATCTCTCTGATTCTTTCAATGTGTATATTCTCAGAGAATGTGATTTGAGTATTTTATATAACTCAAATCATCTAGATTGAAACTTCTCAACACTCTCATTGTGTATGAGAACTTATATTCTCATCTTGAGACTTGATTTCTTAACTAGTGAGTCTCATATTCTTTTCAATTGAATTGCTCAGTTCAGAAGTAACTTATTAGCTTTTATATGTACATGACTGATCTCTTTTAATCTTGATTCTGCATTTATAACTGTTATATCTGTGACTGTTGTGTCTGCAGCTGCTGTTTTCTCCTTCATCTTTTTCAAAGCATTCTCTGAGATGTGCGGATGCAATTCATACAATAGATAGAATAATGAACACTTGAAGACTGCATGCTGCTGAATTCATGTGACTAATAGTGCCTGACTGAGATATTCATCTCATAATCTCATTGACTTACTCACTAGATATTTTATCAGCATGTTGCTCAAGATTTCATTCAAGTATTTCATCTTCTCATTTATCTGTGAATGATATGATGTTGTTCTACAATGTCTTGTCTGTAACTGGCTCATGAAATGCCTCATCACTCCTTCTATGAGATTCACATTATTATCAGTTAGAATCTCATGCAGTATTTCATAGTTGACATAGATCTCATCATGTAGAAACTTCACTATCATCTTCTCTGTCACCTCTGAAACTGCTTTCACAACTGGCCAGTCAGTAGCATAATCAATAGCAGTGATTATTCATTGATTTTCATTTGACATTCACAGCAATATGCCTATAAGATTCACTTCTTGTGGCGGGCTACGCCCGATCAATCATATAGACTATTCCGTTACACTCCACAGATTCCAACCACTTCATTCTCGAACGCGTACACTCCGATTCTCGGCCATTCTCGATCACCGATCCTCGGCCGCTACAAACGCGCGTATATTCTCCCGCCCCGAAGCTCCACCGCGTACACCACCACATACATGTATAAATATCCACCTCAATCACTGATTCTCACACTCTCTCTTTCTTTCCTTCTCTAACATTTTTATCTTTGTTATATAAGACCTATCAATATTACACTGATCTATTCAGTGTAGGCCTCTTACACTATAAAAACATTCATCATCTTCTTATTAGAAAATAATTATTCACACATTGTCTTCTCATCAGGAATAATTATTCATTAAGAGATATCTGAATGCATAACAATGCATAAGAAATAGAGAAATAGTTAAGCAGACACTGAGTTCTCAGATAGAAGCTGCTCACCAGTCACTCTGACCCTGCAATAAGATTCTACAAAGAGAACATCAGTGAAAGATCTGAGAGTCCTGACACTCAGATATATGAGATATTCATACAATTACACTTCTTCAAATTTCACAGATATCACACATTCAATAAACAATATAATCATATCTAACAATAATATGAGAGAACCTCTGAATATGAGCATAGATGCAGTGTCACAGTGGCTCTGAGCAATGTTGAAACTACAATAATAACAAATAGCTGATATACATGCAACTCAATAACATCAATACAAAGAGATTTAATGACTAACTCACACAATTCTAACATCTACAGAATCAAATATAAAAGTGCTGAAAGAACACTTAGATACTTCTGTATATTTCAATGCTTTCAATCTCACTCTCTACTCATCATGAAGAATGAAAATGCTCACAAAACTGAGTGTAGATGAAGATGCCATCAGTTCATTAATCAATCAAAGTTAATATATCAATGAATAATTGAAAGATCACATGAAACAGAAGTTTCATTCATGAATAAAAGCATGTGAATCAGTGTTACAAATATCTGATAATATTATGAAATATCTTGATATTCTGTTCTGAGACACTGTCATACAACAGAAAGTATTAGATTGACTACAGAGCATCTGATAGAGAAATATTTCTCTTATAACATTTATCCCTGACTTCAACACCAAGATTCTAGAAGCAGGTGATCAATCTTGAGAGAATTGAATGAAGATTAGCATGCTCAAGAAGACATTAACTTTCAAACTCTTACAAGCTCTTATAAGTGCAGATGAAGACCAGACTTATGAAGACTTCTACACACAGCTTCAGACAATGAATGACTGTCTTACTAAGCTCAAGAATATACAGAATAGTGACAGAAGACATTATATCTCAGTAACTTATACATCTATGCTGAGGAATAACAATGATACAGATATCATGAATTGAGTAGACTTAAATATCTACACATAAGCAAGAGTCTCTGCTGTTCAGACAGACTTCTGAGTTTCTGAGATTACTTCTGAAGAAGTTGCTGATCAATATTAACATGAAGTGTACATCAACTGTAACTGATCAGAACATATTGCTTTCAACTGCTAATCAACCTATGTGCCTCTATACTTGAGAGAAAGATCAGTGTCTTCTTGTTTAAAGAATGAATCAGCATCTGTCTGCATCAATCATATTACATTAAAGGAAGATTCAGAAGATAACTATAAGAATGTCTCAGTGAAACAGAGAAAAGATTAGCTTCTGTTCAAATTTGTAAACAGAAGCTTGAAGAGGTCAGATAACAATGATTTGAAGAGAAGATGACAATGAATACAATTCTTGTATCTACTGTGATTGATAATATGTATAATATGAAAGCCATGATAGACAGTGATCTATGTCACTATGCAATGATAAAATCTTCAGTTGTAAGATATCATAATCTTCAGTGTATCTCTTTATCAAAATCTTGACTTCTTGCAGGATTTGATGATTCAAAAGACATTTATACCTGTTACATGATGAAGCTGATCATAGATGTGAGAGAACATCAACATGAAGATGTCTATGTATATGAAGTTGATAATCTTGATTATAATCTTATATTAGAACTTGTCTGACTATCTGAACAAGGTATCTTATTGAACACTTGAAACAGAAGCTTGATATTTCCTAACAATGATAGAATTCATGAAGATGACATTCACAAGACTATTGATCTGACACAGATCTCTGTCAATATCTATAAAATGCTCAGAAAAAGAAGTTGCTGAAAGAATTGTTGATAGCAGAATCATGTATCAATCTATTCTGCCAGTCTGATCAATATTAAAAAGACTCTAGAAAAATTATCTCATGTTACAACAATAGATTCTCATATGAAACTCTCTCAACAATATCATGAATATCTAGATGTCTTCTGATAAGATAATATTACAAACATACCTCTCTTATGAGATCTCAGAGTGGATCACAGTATCAAGTTAGAGAAAAAGAAGA